AATACTCATAAAAGGCAAATTTTTGGAGCGTTTACCATTTCTTAATTATTAAAAATAAAAATCTTTAATTTGATATAGTTTTTAACTTGGCAGACAATCTGGAACATTTTCAAAAAACAAACAATTTTTTTGTCAAAAATTGAGAAATTTTTGATTTTAACACCAGGAGTTGCATATTGAACTAGCATAATTTTTTTATACTTCTTTTTACTTAAAGAGTTTTAATTAGATACAGGTTATAAGTTAGAAAAGATAGATAATTGATTCCGGTGTTAGCAATAAAAACTCTGTAAATATATAACTTTTTAAAAAAGTTAAAAAAAATTTTGAAATGCAAAAAATTATTAAAATGAACTTGCTTTCTATGACAGTTCTTTAATTTCAAGATATAATATTGAAGTGTGTTTTAAAATTTTTGATGATAATGGTTTTATTTGATTAAATTAGGATTATTTTGACGTATAAATCATCAATATTAACATAATAAAAGCTGAGTATATTTGTGGAAAGATGCTTAAAAAAAACACATGGTTAAATCAAATATTTTTTAGTATTTTATCGAATTTAAATAAGTAACTAACTTATGAAATATATAATTATTGATTTAATTTTTTTTAATAATGTATATATGTGTGCTGAATAAAGATATATTACAAATTAAGATAATTAATAAATTGTTTCAATTTTTAATTTGTTATTGCCGACAATTTTGTTATATTACAAGAATACAAGAATATATTTGAGCTAAACTACTTAGAAAACTTAACTTTAAATAATTGCATTGGATTTAGCTATTAACTGAACACAGCTATTATATTAAGATAAAATTAGATTTACATTGAGCTTTATTGTTATACTTATAACAAAAGAGCTTGCTTAAATTATTCATAATATCTTAACTAGAAACCTCTAAAAAATAAAATTATTAAACAAGGTGAAAATTTCCATACATTATTGAACTTATTTTTTAAAGCAATCGAGACTATTCCAATGAATATTACAAAAGTACAATGAAACATAGTTTAAATAAGTTCATACTTTGATATAATTTTATGGTATTATTATAGTAACTGAAAATGTCATGATAAATAAAAAAATCTTTTAAATAAAACTATGCAATGTAGATAATTAAAATATTAAATATGAAAAAGAACAACTTAATTTAATTGAAAATTGTTAGAATCTTATAGATATAGTTTTGAATAAATAGGATAGTAATAAGAAAGAAATCGTATTAATTTAATAGGATATTTTATCGTGTTACGGTTTATCATGCTCTTTGAGAACAGTATTCTGATATAGTTTGTGAAAAAATTGATGTGGTGGGCTATAAAAAATTTAAAGTACTGTAATGAGTTTTATGCTTTATTTACTTTCCAGTGAAATAAATAAAATGAATATTTATAAAATACCAATAGAAAATACTGGATAAAACGATTCAAATGGAATTTAGTATCTAAATTTACTAGATTTGTGTAATTATTACATTTATTTATCGGAGAGTTACCCAATTTTGACTTTTAAAACAATTCATATATTATCACTTTTAATTAAGTAACAAAAAATAGAATTTTCTATTAATGAATGCAATTGTATTTTACATGTACAATCAAATGAAATATATAAAAATATAAACATAATGTATTTATATTTATATTTTTATATTATTATTTATTGTGAATTAATCAATAATGTATTTAATTTCATAATTTATTAATTTTCAATTAAAAACAATGAAAAAAATGAATATTCCAATGTTTTATCATATTTTATATATTTAAGCACAATTTTTTAATTTTCGAAGAAATATTTAGTTACAAATTTTGAATTTTGAATATTTCTAAGGCTTTTTAGAGCATATGTTTAAAACATTTTAAGATTTTAAAAACCTACAATTTTCTATTTAATACTACTATTATTACGTGTACATACAAATGTATTATATTGGTATATGGGTATACTTTACTGGAGTATAATTGGAAGTTGTCATAGTGTTTTCATATTACTAAATTCAATTATTCAATGTCCAATGCCCGCATAATTAAATGTGAAAAGAAAGGTTTTATCCTTTCAGTAGCCGATACAGGTACCTACTGTCAGTGCGACTTTAACAGAAGAGCTCAGTTTACTGGTAATTTAATAATATACTATTATTTAAATAATCTTATTTTTATGTTTAAATTAAATATCATAAAAAATCTGAACACTTTTCATTATCATAATACTTTGTGCATTATAGTTATTGGAAACTTATTAAAAATCACTATTTTTATGAAATAATAACACTTATTATTAATAGATTCTGTTTAAACGTTATTCATAAATGTAATAGCCCTCATTTTGAAATTTGCGTTTAAAGAAATTAAAAGCTAATATTATTTAAAAAATATAACATTCTTCAAAGCTAATTTATGATAGAAATATTGAGATTATATTATAAAAACAGTGTGTAAATTGATTCTGCGAGAAAAGCATCCTACTATAATGTTTAAAGTTTTTGTATTAAGCAGAGTTTCAAAAATGTTTACCTTTTGTTAGTTATTCTTAACTTCGTAAACTAATTAATAATTATAATTAAAAGATAAATCTGAGTCTTCGTATAACTATATAGAAATTCTAAGTTTGAAGTTCTTGTCAATTTTTGTTAACTAAAAATATCAAAAAAAATTTTTTTCTGAAATTTCTTATATTTTGTAAATAATTGAGTGAGCTATAATAAATGGAAGACCCTTTAGAACAATTTAATTTATTGACATCATAATATAGTTACAGTTTATAAGTTTCATTGGAAAGAAAGTATATTTTTATAGAAACACTTAAATTGGCATATTTAGTTTATAATTGTACCTAATTCTCTCCAAAACGTATTTTGAGCTTATACATATTTGAATGTGAAATGTAATACAAATATTAATATTAAGACTATATTTGAAATTGTAATGTTTTATAAAGTTATTTCATTTGTCAGGAACTTATAAATTTTGTCATACGTTATATATTTATATCTATTTATTTAATTTTATTAAGTTGTTTAAGCTAAGTTAAACTCGTTATATATATATAAGAAGATATATAATTGCAATGAATTATAATTGTTTTAATCTTTCATGACATTTTATTTTAAATTTTGTTCTTTAAATTTTAACTAATTAAATATAAATATTATAAGAATAACTGTTTAAATACAAATAGTAGCTAGCAAAAGTGTAATTAAAAAATTCGATTTGAAACTTTTCAAAAATGTTTAAACAGTAAATATTTCAATAAGGTTTCACACTGACTAAAAATAAATAAATAAAAATCGAATTATCCATAATTTTAAAAATAATTTCAATAACCTAATTTAAAATTAATTTTTTAGTTGTTATAATTAAAATAAAAAGTTGAAGAAACAAAATGTGTTTATTGAAATTAATAATCAACGCTAACTTCAATTATTAGATTTAGATTAATGATAAAAATAATGAAATATGTCAATATTATCGTATTTAGAAAAAACAATTAATTTAATTAAATAAAACAAGAAAAAATAAAATTGATGTACACTTGAATATTTTTAATGATTTATTTTAAAATGTAACGAAAAGCCAAAATAGTACTTAACCATTAAAATGGACATTTGCCAAATTGAATTATAGATTGTAACATTTTATTTTATCGAAAGGAACTAATTATCAAAAACATTAAATAAGAAATTGCAATTCGTTGGGCTACAAATATATTTTCAACAAATTATAGTCATAATATAAAATTGGCAAAAACTACTAACTGTTATTGATTAAAAAATTAATACAATAAAAAAAAAAATTCAAATTAAGTAAGCTTTGTTATGATTAACAACGCTAATATTAGTGAAAAAACAAATATTTATTACAAAAACATAAGTTTAACTAGTTCAATAAAGTAATAACTTGATTAACCACTATAAGTACGCGGCTGATCAATGCAATCATATATAAAATCTAGTTGCCAAGTGAAAATGTTCTATATTGTATTTAGTCAAATCTAGAATCACATAGTTTCATTACTTATGAACTCCTTATGTCAATAAGTCACTTGACGATAACAATTACTCCCAAGAACCTCTTTAATCTGTTTTCATCTATTAGCATATTATATGGTCATGTAATACAATCATTAACTTATTGCAATTATGTCTTTTAGACTTTATTTAAGATTACTAAAATACCAATTCAGCACATTTATATATAAAGATTTTTAACTGATAACTGTACTTTTTCAAATAACTTCTAGTCCCTAATAAAATCGGTTGTTTGTTGACATTACTATTCGGTTTTAGTTTAAAAGAAGAAAAGTTTATTCTTATGGTTACAAGATAGCTGACTATTATTTGTCCACCTAGATCCACTTAATTTACTTAATAGCAAAACTCTATAACATTAAAATCTTATTTATTTATGAAACTATAAAAACTTTTTATTCAAACTCAAAGAATACAAACACTATATGTGTTCATAATGACTTTTTTCGTTAACAAACACAACAAATTTAAATTTAACAATAAATTTGTTTATGTGTTGCGTGTTGAAAGTTTTATATTGACTAATTTTTCCCTATAAATATGTTTAACGAACCAATTTATCTTTGACAGTAAAAAGTTTCAAGGGACATGCATTACTTTTCACATATAATGTTATTTTTGTAGCATTAGGTCAACGTTAAGTTTTTGACTTGATAGTGTATGATTCTCAAGAAATTGTATTAAATGTAATGTCAATGTTATATATTCTTATTGTTATGCTGATAAAATATTGGCATTTTTTAAAAATTTGTACATATAATGAAATTTAGATAAAAAGTTGAAACAACAAAATTATTTTTATATTTAAGTTAATTTAGTAATTTATTAAACAAAATTTTTAACTTTTTAAAAATTTTTGTTTATCTGTACTAAACTTGTTTAGTTTTGTAGAAAAATTAATATTAAAATAAGGTATATTAATATGAAATTTTTATTTTACTATACAATTTGATTGTAGGTGAAATGAAACTAAGTGTAACATCATTTCGGGCCCATTCGTCGGCTCAAAAAAAAATCTTAAAGTGTCAAAATCAGCTCAATTATATCGCACCACATATTTCTGTTGTTCCAAATGTAAATTCTCCATCTACCAGTGTGAGTCATAAAATAATTTGCTTTAACTAAATTTAAACTAAGAATAATTTTTTTATTATTTAGATAAAAAAAATTAATATTGTAAATAATTAGAAATTATTTACCTATCCCTACTAACATTTTTGTTGGTTTAACTACAATAATTGTATTTAAGCCAAACATTAAACATTTTCTCAAGACTGATTACTGCTAGCTTTCTAAAGTTAAACGGAAACATATTATAATTTTAGTACTATTACATTAAAATGTTCCAAATAACATTTTGATTGGTTGATAATCAGTTTTGTAACATTATTTTTTCAGATATAATGTTTAGCGATGCTCTATTTTTGCTACACGTACAGAGAAGACTTCTTCTTTGTTGTCCACTCCACTAACCTATAACTAAAAATTATAACCACTGCTTAACGACCAGCCAAAATTTTATTTAGATAATTTATCATTCAACATTAAAAAAAATAATTACAGACTCCCATTTAACTTTCAAATTCTAGCCTTTAAACTTACAACAAACATCACATTCACAACGATTTATAAAAAATAATTCAATTTTAATTTATACATTTTTATGAAAAAATTATTATTTAACGAAAAAATGGATTCTACCATTCTTAAAAAATCACACTATGCAGGGTGATTTTTTTATCATAACCCACTTAATTACTTATAAAATAATAATTATTAAAAAATTTTTTTTTATTATTATCTTTAGTTACACATTATTCTTGAATTATTAACTATGTAATACTTTTTAAGTTCATCCCTTATGCCTGGTAAGGGTGTCAACTTTGTTTTTTTAAATGGTAACACATATTTTGAATTAATTTAATAAAATGTTTGAGTTTTTAATTCAATAGTAAATGGCATTTGTATTTTTAATGAAACTTAATTCGTTTTTTAGATATAAACATTTAAAGTTTCAAATTTTTGAGTTAATATATAGGTATAATATACAAGGGATTACAAATACAGGTAGCTAATTGGTTTTTTATGACATCGATATTAGCAGGTACACAGTATTGTTATTATCAATGATAGTAAGGTACATTGTTGTGAGTTTATAAATACACTAACTGACAATACAAAAAGTATATCTATTGATAGTCATAATTAATAATAAACAATCCGTGACTGTGATAGCAATGTCATAAAAAACCAATTAGCTACCTGTATTTGTAATCCCTTGTGTATTATACCTATATATTAACTCAAAAATTTGAAACTTTAAATGTTTATATCTAATAAACAAATTAAGTTTCATTAACAATTGACACAAGTGACATTAAAAATTCAAATGCCTTTTACTATTGAATTAAAAAGTCAAACATTTTATTAAAATAAAAATATGTGTTACCATTTAAAAAAATAAAGTTGACACCTTTACCAGGCATAAGGGATGAACTTAAAAAGTATTACATAGTTAATAATTCAAGAATAATGTATAACTAAAGATAATAATAAAAAAAAAAATTATAAATTATTATTATTCTGTAAGTAATTGAGTGGGTTATGATAAAAAAATCACTCTGTATAAAACTATATGTACAACTATATAATATATATAGCCATATATATGTGTATTATACTTATATATCTAAAAGTAATATTACAAAATTGGTTATCATACAATTAACATTTTATTTAAACTATTCATCATTAAATGATAAAAAAAACAGATTCCCGTTTAACTTTCAAAGTTACTTTTAAATCTACCGTAAGAAATATTATTTTTATAATAAATTTGATATTTTCTATAATTCATAAAAATAAATTGTATTTTTATTTTTGTGAATTCAATGTAATTTTTATGAGATATTTATTATTTAAAAATAATTAAGGTGTAGTATTCTTAATGAATCACACCTTATAAATCTTTATTGTATAATATTGTCGAAATACAATAAAATTTACTATACTGTAGTTTTTTAATTGATTAAATTTGAATATTCAATAAGAATACATAAAAGACAGCTCTATTGTAGATTCAAGACTAATAAGATATGATGATAAACGTTGAAGTGTTGAACTTTTAATCAAATAAATAATTACAGGGAAAAAATGAAAATAATTATAACGTTGAACTTTTCTTAATTGTGACTATAAATCTATTTATAATGCAAAGTACTAATCATTATAAATTGCAGTTAAAAAAATAGACTTCAAATTATAAATTTGTATACTTAAAATTTCAGAAAATATTGACATAGTATTTGTTATTTAATAATTTTACATGGTTTTAATGATCACTAAAATGTCATTACTGGAAAAAATATATATGCTTACAATAAAATTGACAAAACGCATATATCTTTAATTCTTTAATGAATAAAATATGAAATTATTAAAAATACACTAATACATTAGAATTGTGATACAGTAGAGACTAGTATATATGATGTCTGACAATGTTAATCACTGTCATAAAAAACGCTTTGTTGTGACTGTGAAATTTCATAATAATTTGTATATTTGTAATTTTACAATTACCGTATTGTAATTATTAAGTGAAATATTTTTATTAATTTTTGTAATCCAAAATTTCAAATTTCAATAGGTTGATAATATTAATAAGTTTTTAAAAACATTTTTTGAAACTATATTATTTAAAAATTTATGTTTTTGAGAAACGTATTATTATTTTATGCACATTTTCTATCAATAATTCTTCAATAACCAACAAATAGTAGAATTTGCAGTTGTTGTATTTGATTTAAAGTTTTTAAATAAATACAACGCAGGTCCATAAATAACAAATTATACAGGAAGTTTTGATCAATAAAATTTTTTCTTTAAGCTTACCAAAACTAGGCCATTCATCTGAAAAAGAATCAATGTATATCAGAGATAATTTATTACATCTATGCTGTTGACACTAACCCCATGCAAACTCTAATCTTAACTCTAAGTGCTAGTTGAGGGTAAGGTAAAAGTATAATATTACACTTTTAAAATACTGTTCTAAAGCTTCAAGGGTATTATAAAAATATATCACTAATTTTTACTAAACTAAAGACATTATGGAAAAGTAGTATTTATTTCAATAATATATTTTACTTATTGTAAGATAATTTTTTGAAATTGTTAAAATTAAAAGTTATAACTGTTTACGCAAATAAACAAAATAAGAAATTGTCTAATCTGTTTGATAAATTGCCTATCGTTGAAAAAAAGTAATGCTGATTTATAAATGGTTAAATGCAATATGGAATAATATATCACAAGACCTATATGACGTTAAAACATAAAAGTAATAAATTGTGACATGTATTTTGTAAATATTTATTGCACATGAGCATTAATTCATAAATAATGAAAATGAAAGATATATAAAAAGCATTAAAGAATTAAGAGCATTCACAAATAAATACACAATAATTTACATAATGTATAAAAGAATTTTTTAATAGATACAATATCCCTTTGTTGTATTTTATTTGAAAATAATCATGTTATACGTATTCTTAACACAAATTAAATTTTAACCTATATTAATTCATTAAATGATACCTAATTGTTAAAAAAAAAAAGAGATATATTTATTTATTATAACATTGAGGTGGTCATTTACACACATTTAAATAAAACGCAAGTTCATTTTTAGTTTAAAGAATTTAATTTGTTGTATAATTGAAAAATAAAAATAATAATAGAATATGATAATATTTTTGGAAAATTTAATGAATAACAAAGCAATTTTTTTATTGAATGATAATAAATTACATTTCGAATAATACATGATTTATTGTGTCATTTTACTTTTAGAAAATTAGAAATCAAGACATTTATTTCAAAATAAAGTTTTTATGTTTATATATCTTATGGTAAGTCAATTGACTCGCAGCCCATTTCTTATGCTAACGAGTGCGTCAGTAGGACGCCTTAACTAAATGTAGAAGAAAAGCATTTTGAAGTAACTGTAGCAAAACATTGTGGCCACCTAGCGGAGACTATCTGATTAATACTTGTGTGTGTTCTATCAGTACCGCGGTGTTGGTATCACTTAACCCCATGTGTGTGTGCGAATCGGTTGTAACTTATGCACGTTCCGTTGAACTTCAATTAATGTTTAAAATTAGCTTTCGTGTACTATTACTTTAGTGTGATTCTTATACTAAAAGTAATCAGCTATTTATTTGTTTAAATCATGTTTTTTAAAAGTCATATATTTGAAATTTATTCTAATTATTTACTAAGCTGTTATCAAGTTATTTATCTTATATTATTTTTAAAGGTCCAGTTACAAACAAGGTATGTACGATTAACTACAAATTAATTTAATAGACATAATAAAAACATATTCTTTATATGATACATATTGATATTATTCTTTAAAAATACATTAATTGAAGAAAATATTCTATTCATTTATTAATTTGTATTAAATTTGGTAGTTGAACTCCAACTATCAGTAGTGATGATGATGTTCCTCTTGCTCCATACCACAAACTACTGATTTTCAATTGGTTATTGTCTAGCGTTGTGTTAGATATTGTATATAAGGAGCATAAATTGATTTTTTCTCTTTGTCAATTAATATATATTGTCTGTCATTATTAATTTACCAACGAATGGTAAGATAAAGAATGAGTCTACAGCCTCGTTTACGATCTAAGACTATAACATTTGTCCACCTGTTTTGAGTATTAATACTATTATGAATTTCGGAGCGTACCTCATTGTAGTTTTCGAAGATTACCTTCTAGAAACTTGCAAATAACGTACTTACTCTGTTGTGTGCTGAGTTTTGTTTTGGTCTTATGTTTGATAGTTTTTCAGTTATATAAATCTCATTGCAAATTCTGTAATGGCCACCAACATTTGGACTTTAAGTAAATGATTGAATTCATAGACATTTTAATAGCGTTCATCCACTATGCGCTTTACAACCCTTTTTTATTTGACTTTCTAGGATATCCATAGGCGAAATTTGAATAAAATGTTTGGAAATCTAACTTAATTTCTCTTCCTTAAAAATATTTCTATATAAATTAATATGTACT